CAGGAGGAGGCCTGTCCTGCCAGCTCAGCCCTCAGGCTGGAAGGAGGTGACTCCTGAGGAGGTTGTGACAGGGCTGAACTGAAAGACGGAACCTCAGAGCCATACCTGGGGAGTCAGGATTTTGGGCAAAGACCGCAGAGACAGATGATGCTGTGCTCCTTCCTGAGCCACCAGGCTCACTGTGGGAGGTAAGGAGGGGAGAGTTCCGTGTCTGGACGGCACCTCCCGTGCAGGAAACAAAGAGGAGGGTAGAACTAGGGGGACGTCCTGGGAAGGGGCCTGCACAAGAAAGGACCAGAAGGTCCTTGGGGGCTTGGGGTGCTGAAGACACCCATCAGAGTTCAACAACTGTTTATTGGGGGTCAGGGTAACACAAAACCCTGTCTGTGCACCCATCCCTGGTTGTCCTCAGTGAATCCTGTCTGTGCTATAGTTTTTCCTCCCTCAACCTTCTTGTGAGGAGATTTTTTTGTGAGGAGATTCCTGAGACTGGGGAGATGTCCTTGGGCTGGTGGGAGCTTGGCAGAAGTAGGGGGCACTGCAGTCTGTGAGGGAAAGTGGGAATGGCCAGCATCCCATGGGAGAGGGCTTCTGTGGGGTTGGGTAGGCCTGTGGTGGCACTGAGTCCCATAGAGGGCTTGACCTGGGGCCAGTCACTGGGAGGTGTTAGCTGTGCAGGGCATCTGCTTGCTAAGTGAGGAAGGTGAGGGCACTCGAGAGACTGCCGGCCTGGCTGGGAGGAGTTGTTGGTCTCCTTCTGGCTCTCTGGAACCACGTCTCCTCTACAGAGAGGCACCTTGGTTAATAGAGTGGCGTCAGTCAGAGCTGCGGAGCTTGCAGGAAGAAGCCACAAAAGTCTCCTTGTCCCTGCCCCTGCCCTGGGGTGTGGACTCTGGATCAGGCCGGGTCTATCCTGGCCAGGGTCACGTGAGGGGAGGCTGCAGTCCAGGTCATGGCCAGTTTCCTCCAGCACCTTGGGTAGGAAACGACAACCTACCCAAAGCCACAAGGATAATGAGCAAGTGAGGGTTGCAGGGAGCTGAAAAGCCTGCCTTGAGAGCATGTGAATGAGGTTCCGAAGGTGGGCAAGGTTTGAGCTAGAGCTGCCCTCTTCCTGCCCTCTTTCCCTTGTAAGTGGTTGGTTCCTTTCTTATCACCTGTCAAAATGTCAAGGATCAGGAGCCCATGTTGTTGGATGGTTTGTCCTGTGGATATTGAGGTTCCCTGGGGAATAGTAGTCCCTGCACTAGTGAAGCAGGAAGTTGCTTAGTCTGCCTCTTGGGGGAGTCTGCTCCCTAGATTCTGCTGCTTGCTGGAGCAGAGAAGTTGCTGGGTGTACTGCACTGCTTGTCCTTAGTGGTAGCCATGGCTACCTTGACCCCCTTCCCAAACAATAAAGAATGCTTATGCAATGATGGCTGGGGTGACAAGTTTCCTCATACAAACTGTATAAAACTTTACCATTCCTGCAATTTGGGGCTCAGTGTTTTGGGAGCCATCCCACTGAGCATGTTGGTATGACAAATCTCTCTTACCTCTCTGAGTGCCATCTGATTCCTCTGGGAAATTGCCATAACATGGAGGGGGCCAGTGTCAGCAGGTGCCTAAGGTAGCAGAGAATGAGGAGGGCATGGCTGATTGTGGGGAGAAGGGCAGTGGAGTGGCAGGTGTCCTCCATGGCTCCCTGACAGCTGTAGACCCATATACATGGGCAGGGTGGGGCACTGGCAGAGGGCGGGGTGGAGGCAGTCTTCTAACACTGAACTGGGTGCCCCATCTGTGGGTCTTCTGCTCATAACACGAGCTTAGGTGGGGGACTGTGAGTTGCAAAAACATATGCTGGGTTCCTCACCCTGACCCCCCAACTCTCCAACTACTCTGTCATGTTTCCAGGTTTCAAAGGAACATCTCCAGGGTTCAGAAAGGGGAAAAAAGTAGCTGCCAGCGCTGACAGCCTGACGACGCAATGTGATATGTGATGGGCGTGCTGTCAACTAAAGGATGAAACGGAAATCTGTCATATTTGGTCCATGACTCTATAAACACTGATGTTTTAAAATGGAACTTTAAATTGGGCCAGTGAGCAAAGTGAGTTCTGAGTGCCATCTGCTGGAACAATTGACTCCTTTGTGATGTAAAACATACCAAACTTTGGCTAAGGCCTCCAATTATGAAGGGTGTCAGGAGGCTACTAGGGAGTCGCTGCTGGTTCTCGCTATGCACCTGCCTTGGCTTAGGGAAGGAGACTCTGAATGGGGTCAAATTGAAAGTGCTGAGCTCTCCCTCTGCCCACAGGAAATCAGCAGCCTTTATGTGGCCTCCATTTTAAGTTGGATTATTTCTCTGAAGTGCTTTGTACCTGGCATTTGAAAGAGTTGGGAAGACAGATGTGCTGGCAGGAAGGGAGTAGGCCATGAGGGGGCAGATGCGCACACTCTCTCTCCTGTGCTGGCTGTGGGTGAGACCCACCTGTGACCTGTCAGAGGGGTCGGGGAAGGGTCCACAAGAAGCAGCAATTCCAGGTATAAATGCTTTCAGGGTTTAAAGTCATGTGATGCGGTATCTATGCAAATATTCCCACATACACTTACACACACTGTGGCAGAAAATTCTTTTTTTTTCCAATATGGGACAAGTTAGTCATCGCTATCCATCCACTAAGTCAATACAGATTAAAACCCAAACCTGACATAGTTTTACCTTGTTGCCTGAAAGAAATTCAAGTAAAGACATAAATACAGCTTTCAAGGATATTGGGGTGAAGGCAGACAGCAGTTTCATTTACTATCAGCATGCCTCAGCGACAGCTGGTTGTGGTTCACTTTGGGGACCCACCCTCCAGTGCTCATGGATTCCTCATCGGGTCCCTTGGGTGGTGTGACTGGCATGCGGGGAGTCCCCAGACACTGTGCTAAATCACTTGGGAAACATGGTGGCAAGCGAGGGAGATTCACCTTCTCTTAGGGACACGGAGAGAATCCTTTGAAGTCCCTCTGGGCTGAGGGGCAGTTTGGGGTATTTGGAAAGAGAAGTTGCTCTTTTACTTGGTGAACTTGAGGGGGTCTTGTCTCTTTCTTAATATTTGGGAAGTGGTCATCAAAAAAACGAAAACAAGAAATGGAGTGAGAGAGGGGAGACAGTCAAGTACTTTGCTCTGCATTACATTCGGGAGGAGACAGGATTTTATTTGTTGTCCAAAGACATCAGGGCTTTTTCCAAAGAGCAGAGTTCAGGGCAAACCCAATGTGGCACAACCTTTGTTGTCAGAGTTAGGCCGGGCTGTGGGAAGGGGGACTTGGGCTTGTGCACAGCACAGGACGCCTGGGTGCTCTGTCCTGGTGTGCACAGTGTGGCTGCGTCCCATAGAGCAGAGCAGGGCTCACCAGGGAACCCCTTTTCCTGCTGATCAGGAACATCTTACTCCTTGGACTGTAAAGCAAGACTCAACATATGTGTCCAATTTAGCACATAAAAAGTTATTAAATTTGGGCTTTGGTGCTTTAGAGGTTGGGCTGTGGGGGTGGGAGTGGCAAAGGAACAGGGACAGGGGTCATTGGAGGGAGGGATCATGGTGGGAGGCCTGGGGCACAGGAGTTGGAAGCCAGAGCATATGAGTTGAGGGGGTTGGGATGGGTGTGTTGACAATGCAACCAGCTGCAGTTGAGGGGAAAGCACTCCGGGTTGGGTTGAAGGCAGCAACCTGGTCAGCAGGCCTCTTCCAATATAGGAACCTGAATAGGTTGAAGATGGGGCACAACTATAGGAAGATAAGAGAGAGGTCACTGAGAAGCCACTGGAATTGGGAACAGAAACCTGTGGTTTCCTTGGCTCAAGGGAGATGGACCCACAGGCTGGACCTTTGAGGATGCCCTTCCTCTCCCTTGTGCTGATCCAGCCTGGTCTCCCCCTTGGAGACTCTGTTCAGGGGTGGGGGGCCTGTCCAGCCTTCTCAGGCACCCAGCTCTCTGACATTGAATTCCTTTTGCTCAGATGTTAGCCTGATCTTCTTCCCCTGACTGGGAGCCTGGGATATAAGGACAAATTCTGACTAAAGGAAGGCCCCAGCATTCCCCAGGTTTCCCAGGTGTGTGCTGAGGGATGTGTCTCCATCCCAGCCAGGAGGGCCTCAGCACATGAGAAGCAGCAGCTGCCCCACAGCCCTGGGACTGGGTAGGGTGGGCCACAGACTGGAGGCACAGAGAACTCCCCAGATGACTCTTCTCCAGCCTTTTTACTTAAAGTTAGAAGTGCTGGTTAATGTCTAGATTTGTCTCCTGTCATCCTTGGATAAAATCAAAGAAAACACACGGTCCCCTGTCTCGAATCAGCTGGGAGGTTCCTAAGCCCCAGGTGTCCTGTCTTAGACCTTCTTCTTGACAGTCCCGTAGGGCAGCTGACAATGGCAAAAAGCAAAGGGCCCTGCCCCTGGGGAGCATCCCTGCCCCTTGCTTACCTTATGCCTGGGCTGACAATACATCGCTTGGCACCAGTTGCATTTTGGAAAAAAGTTGTACAAACCATGCATGCACAACACATCTGGTTCATCCTGAAAAGCAGACGGGCCTGTGAGGACGCTTTGAACATGGCGGTTGCCTCCAGCAGGACAGTGTCCCCTCCAGTTCCCAAAGTCACCTGAGCTCTATATCCACAAGCGCCCTGGGCCAGGATTATGGCCTTTACTTGTGTCAAGGGGCCTGGAAGTCTCTTGTGTTTTGGTGGGTGAGGGTGTGGATCACGGATTGTTTGCACATCCGGAACAAATTAGTATCTTTTCTTTTTTAAAGATTTATTTTATTTATACAAGAACCGGGGTACAAGCCAGATGCACGGGAGGGTGAGAGGATTCACCAGAGATAGAGCGAGGAACAGAATAGGCAGACTGACTGCTGAGGGGAGCAGTGGGTGAGACAGGAAAGTCTGCTGGCCATGTGGGTTGCTCCAAGGCCGGTGGAGATCGAACTGGCACTGCAGAGGCTGCTGGCAGCTTCACAGCGCTGCGCTCAACCACCTGTGCCACCAGGGAGGCCCCAACAAATTAATATCTTTTGCAGGCCAAGCCAGGACCTCCTACTGGAGTTAAAGTACAAAGGTTTGAGGAGGCATGTGGTGGCTTGGAGGGGAACATGAGGTGCCCACATGGTACCTGGGCAGAGCTAGAAGAAAGGGAGGAGGCCTGCATTTGTGAGGCACACCAGGGAAGGCAGGGAGGAGGATCCAGGCCCTGTCAGAATTGTACAGATACAAAGATAGGTGTCTGAGGGAATGGTGGGACCCCCTGAGAGGTGGGGGTTATAAGAGCAGAGCAGACCCATAGCCATTGCACATGACGGGCTCCCTCACATGTAGGCTCTGCAGCTGTGGGCAGAGCTCCTCAATCTCTATGCGCCTCTGTGTCCACATGTGAGCAGGAGATGAGAGGTGCTCATGAGGTGCGGAGGGTTATCAAAGTCCTGGCACAGGTCAGGCCCTTATGGGGGCTGAGGAAGGTGGCTTGCTCTGGCCGTCATTCCCAGCCAAGGACAAGTTGCCCTCAGGGTGGGACAGCGCACAGTCTCTGCTGCGGAGCACAGGAGAGGGGAAGGGGTAGGGGACCACTGCCCAGGGAACAGGGTGGCAGAGAGAACGGCAAGGTCAGGACTGCTCATCTGCCCTGCCAGGGCCCTTGAGGCTCTCCTGAGAGCTTTCCTCATGGGCCTGATGACAGACGAGCTGTGTCTTGGTGGGACTCCTGATGGGCTGGTGTGAGAACTCTAGCTGATCTGAGCAGATGTCTAGACACAACGCAGATACACGCAGAGGAGATGTGAGCATAGTGTGCACCCTCACAAGCAGGTACAAAACACAGGGCTCTGGCCATCAGACAACGCATCTCTGCTCCCTGGCACACCTCTTCTGTGCCAGATGTTCACCACTGGCCATGTCCTGCTGCCCAGGGCTAAGTTGCCTGGATGCTGTGGAGCATGGAAAGGGGCCTATCACCTTCCTTCCCAGGGGCCCCTTGCTGAGCTGAGTCCTGTTCCTTCCCAGGACCCTGATAGCTTCCCCACCAGCAGAGAAGAGAGACTTCTTGCAGAGAGAGAGTTGCAGCCAGGAATGGCTGAGGAGTGTGGGAAAGGAGGAAAGAGGAAAGGAGTCTGAAGACATCTGCAAACTGACAGCCAGGGGCTGTGATGGCCACACAACTGGGCCAGCAGTTGGACACGAGAGCAGAGGAAACACACCATGACTGTGCAGGGCCCCAGCTGTTCTTCCCTCCATATCCCTGTGCCTAGAGCCTGCTTGGTGGGAAGATGTCCTCCAGATGTCCTGGAGTCTGGTTCCTTGCACACAACCTCCTAGCAACCCCTCTGGCCCCAACTGGAGTTAAGATGGTAGCCCAAACTCCCCACCACAGACCAGGGGAGGGGGTGCTGGCAAGGTGGTATTTAGCCTCAACACTATTTCTGGAATCTGCTTGGGTCTCTCATTTGTCTCTTTACGTGCCCTCAATGGCATCGTTCAGAGAACAGAGGGCATCTAAGTCATGCTAAGATGACTGCACCACAGGGCTCCTAGAAGCCCTCCCAGGCACTTCCCAACTCCGATGAAGACCTAAGGGCATCTGTTGCTGGGAGATGCTGCCCTGTGCCCATCTGTACCTGCTATTTGCTGGGCCTGTCCTGGGCACTGGTCCTCTCTCTTGCCTCCTCTCCAGTGCAGGCTTCTGGGCAGCCCCAAGGGAGACCATATACCTACCCTGTGACTCCCACAGTCCTCACTAGTGATCTTGAGCCGTTGCTGATGAAGCTGGCACGGTTGCTCAGGCTCACTTCAATAGTGATCTCGCTGAAGCACAGAAAGGACAGATGGTGACCATAGGTCCTTGGTTTCTGCTCAAACCATATCCGACAGCTCTCCCCATTTTGATGGCTTTAAACTGAGGCATTTGGGGCTACTGGAAGGCAGACAGCCTGGGGTAAGAGAGCTCATCCCAAGAACATGAGGTCAAGCCTGGTAATGAGGATTACCAGTGAGGGATTCTGCGTGAGGTCACATGCCTTTGTGATCACTAACTGACCAGGGACACTGTGTGGTGTTACCTTCTTGACTCATGTGTACTTACATTGTGTTGGCTCCACTCTGGAGGCTGCTGGCAGTAGAGGCCCCTCTCTGGGCAGCTTATCTGGCATGTCCTGTCCTCAGCAGGGGCTGTAGCACAGCAGATCACTAAGCTCATCAGGGGAGCACCAAGACGGAGGGTCAGGAGGATGCCTTGAAGCCTCCCAAAGCACGTCACATGTTACTTAGCTGAGGTGGCCCCACATTCTGCTACCTCATGGGGCAAAAATGCCTGCCTGTCCCAGAATGACACTTACTTGGCTGGTTCCTCTATCTGCACTCCTGGTCACATTAGCCCAGTAACTTCTACCTCAGTGGCTTTTTTATCTAAAAGAAAATGATATAGGAAGAAAGTCAGTGGACTTTCTTCTGCAGTGGACCTGCCTATCCATACACCGCTCCCCATCTGCCTGCCCTTGGCTGGTGCAGCTCTCTGCGGGGCAAGATAAGCATCTCATCTCTGCCTTCTCAGCACCTGCCCGCACCAGCAAGGGCAATGACCTGCACTGAATGGGATCCGGCTCTCCAGGGCTTACTTTTGTGGGATTGAGAGAAAGGCAGACAATAGAACACGAACAATGAAAATACATGCCAGGGAATTAAAATTGTGACATCAATGAACAGGGTTGGGACAGGGAATGGAGGGGATCAGGCAGGAGCTAGGAACAAGGGGATCTATTACCTATCTTTATGGAAACTGAAATATTTATACATAAAATGTATCCAAGCTGGTATTTGTTTTAAAATAACTCATTATCTTATTTTGATAATTACTGAAATTAAGTAATGCTTTTTCCAGTTCTTTTTTCAAGAACTTTTATACAGTTTGAACATTTTCACTCTCAAGTGACCCATGCCCCTCCTGCCTTCCTCACACCACAACCAGTCATTGTTGGACTGGCCTGGCCCACTGCTCTTGCTGATGGTAATTGTTTGGTCCCTGAGGACAACCTCTTGGCAGCGACCCTGCCCTAGGCAGAGCCTGACCACAAGGAGGCTGGGGAGAGCTGAGGTTTGAAATAGAGAGAGCATGAAAGGTCAGCTGAGTGTCCTGTGCTCAGCAATCAGGCATGTGGCCCACTCAGCCAGGCTGACGACCCCAGGTCTCAGGCCTTCTACCATGCACAGTGGCCACTATTTCGGTGTAGCTTCTCAACCCACTTCTGTCAGGCTGTACCCTCACTGCTCACTCTTCAGCAGGACCCTGCCCACCATGACAAGGGGCTGCATGTTTAGCCTGGAGGGAACAGTTGGGGTATCTCCTCCCCACACCCTCATTCCCATGTGCTGTTTGGCACAGCCTCTTTGGAAGAAAGTCCACCCTCTTGGTCCCCTTTGAACCTGTTCTGCCCTATTGTGGCTATTCCACTTTTGGTTCATCCCAGGGAAGTCTGACCAGTGCCCGCACAAATGTCAGAACCAGGATGTTCCCAGGAACAGGGTCTGTGTACTGACTTGTTAGGAAGTATCTGAATATCCACCAAGGGAGACTAAGGAAACAGGTTTGGCTTTTGCATACAGTACAAAGGTAGACAATCTCATATACCGCATTCCCCCATTTACGTAAAAATGCCCTTTGGAAGTGTATGTAGATAGAGATGTCAGTATATATGATCAACTAGTAATGATAGAGTTAAAATGGCACAAAGTGGAGAGGAGCTGCTGCCAGGATTTAGGAGATTGAAGGACAGCTGTGATGGTGTGTCTTCATGGGGGCTGCGTTATGCAGGTATGTATGTGCATCTGTCAGGACTCATCAAACAATATTCCTGTGATGCAATGATGTGTGTATTTCAAAAAGAGAACTCGGGAAAATCAGTCCCTTGTTGAACAAGAGCAGAACAACAAAGTTGGGGTAGAGTAGCCTGATAACTCTAACTTACTTTGAAAAGCATCCAAAATAAGATGGAATGTTGGAGACAGAGACATAGAAAGTGCGAAGGAGCTAGATAGATAAGTGGTAAGAAGGTCAGCTCTTAATTGAGAAATCCAGCTATCGAGAGCAGCTCCTTATAGAATTGTTTCCATTTGCTGCAGTTTTGGAAATGCCCATAATAAGAGAAAGAAACTCAGATTGAATGAGAAAAGCAAGACTTACAGTTAAGCAGTAGTCATGGTATTACTGTTTGACAAGTGAAGAAGGAGAGGAATCTGGGAGGAGCCAGAGGGGCCAGGTGACCAGGAAAAGCTTCCTAGGTCATTTGAAAGGTCCCAAAGGGTTGGTTGACTAAACCCCATAAAGCTGGAAAAGGAAGTCTAGCCCTTGGGGTTAGGGAAATGCTCTTCTCAGCTCCATGGTGCCCTGCGGGAGGGTGGGCTGGGGCCAGGACCTAGAGGCAGGGAGGGAGCAGAGGACTCTACCTAGACTCTGAGGTGTCCTGTGGGGTTGAGGAGACTGAGCCTTCCTGCTCACCCCGCCTGTGCCCCAGGGCTCCCTGGCCACGATTTGTCTGGGTTGACTCCTCCTGTTTCATGGAGTGTAGGTGACTGCCTTGAACTTTTCCACCTAATGACTGGGACACTGGGTGGCAGCTTTTGACTAGAGGACAGTTGACAAGGTCAGCGCAGGGATTGCTGGGCCAGGCTGGCAGGGGAGGATACCTGTCACCTTGACTGGGCCACCACAGATGGTATGAGGACTGCTCTCCACAGCTGTCTGTGCACCCACATGCTGCTCAGACATTCGTGCCTGGCTTTCTCCCTGGGACATAGCCTGAGAAACCAGGCTATCAGGGTGCTACATGGCGGGGGGTGGGGGTGGGGGACTTAAAACAAGGAAAGACCCGTGTGTGTGTGTGGGGGGGGGTGGGGGGGTTGTGGCGGGGAATGGGTTTCTAACCCAATCCACATGAAGCACTGCTGGTTAAAGGTTCAGAGGAGTCAGAATGAGTCTGGGATGCTGGATGCTCTGTAACCACTCCCTCCCTGCCTGGGCTCAGCATGGGCAGCGGAGCAATTGTCAGGGATGGAAAGATAAGCACCACTGCTCTTCCTTAAGTCTACTGGCTTCTATTCCGAGCTGGTCACTGCACAATCCACTGGCCTCCCCTCATGGATCTGAGAGCAGGTATTGATCTTTCTGCCTCTTGGAGACAACAGAGGAGCTGGCACATCTGGGTCCCTTGCTCCAGGTGGCTGGCCACGGGCAGCAGAGTTCAGCCGGAGCAGCTTCTGTCTGACCTGGGTCAGGGTGCTCCAGCCTTCCTGGCAAGGGCAAAGAGGCAGAGCCAGCTGTCTGGGTCTGGATGCAGCAGGGTCAGGCTGCGTGCTGTTCCCGGGGAAGGGCGTGTTACCCGTGGAGCTTAGGTGTCCGCTGGCCGTGCTGGGGCAGCACAACCTGCACATGTAGGCTCTGACAGAGAGAGGCCTTCTAGCCTAAAGGAAGTGCCTGGACCTCCTTGCCTCAAAGCCCTGGGGCCCTCTCTGGGAGAGCGGGCATCCTGTTTTGGTCCAGCTCTCAGGAGGGGCCTTCCCCATTTACCCTGAAGCTGATGTCAGCTGGGCGTGTTGGCGTGGATGGATGTTGATCAGATTATGTTCCTATTAAGACGCTGGGCATTGAACTGTGACATTCTTTTTCTTCATCCTCTGAAATAATCATTTTCTCTTCTTCATTTTGCTGATGGGAGGCATTACACTCATGTTTCAACTGCTATGTGAGCCCTGTGTTTCTGAGGGTGATCCCAAATTGGCTCTGAAGTATTTTCCTTGTGAGATGCTGTTGGGTTTCATTGCTAGTATTTTATATAGGGGATTTAAAATATATTTTCCCTCCTTTTAAATTAAACTTTTGATTCAATTAAACAAAATGAATTATATTAACTCAAGGTGCTAATCATTTTCACCTTTTATATGTTCAACCATTGTGTGACATACCTTCAGCTTACATAGAACTCTATGTCAACGGTATTTCAGAGAGCTGTTCGGGTCAGGTAAAGTGAATAGTGGGGCATGGTAAGAAGCCACCTCAACACCGCCCCGCCCCACATCTACCCCGCACTCATTGAGTCATCGATGTTCTTGAGAGCATAAAATCCACTGTCCACACCAACCATGTGTTCTTCACTGCTTGAAATTGCTAACAGCTACAAGGAGGAGCAGAAGGCTTGGGCCCACAGCCAGGGGCAAGAGGCCAGCAGGACCCCATCCAGTCCTCAGGCTCAGGCTTCATGCCATGTTAGACTCCAGCACCCCACCCTGGCCTCGGCCAGCAGCCCGTCTTTCTGGAATGGAAAGTTCTTCCACTTGTCCCTCAGGTCTGTAGGCTCTACAACACTGTTATTCATTTATGCTACATGTTGTCCAAATATTTGGGGTGGGTTAGAGAACCATCCTCTGGGGGACCCTGCCAAAACGTTCTACAACTAAGCTCTGCAGTTGGCCCCTGTTCTGAATTACCTGATAGTTGTTTACACCCACAGCGTAAACAGTCCCTCCCAGTTATGGAGTCTTCTGAGCCTAAGACAAAGAGGGTGTTCAGGACCAAAGGCTGGTAAAGGTGGGATTGACTTACTTTGTTCTTAGTAGCCTCAAATTGGTGACATTGCTCCATCAGTTAGGGAGATAACCATGGAGTGAACCTTCTTTTCTGTGGGAGAAGCAGGGTCAGTCAAGGCACCCAGAGTGACCCACCACAGGTGACAGGGCCATGGCACTGCCCCCCAGCTTCCTCCTACTGGGAGAGGCTGCCTGACCCCAGAACCACATTCCTGAGAGCCTAGAGGGTTGTGGAGCAGCCACCTGGAGGGAGAAGTCCCCTTGGCTGATCCACTTTACAGAGGAGGAGATTGAGCCTGGCTGAGGATTTTTCTTACTGGATTCTCACAGCTACCAGATGGCAGAACCTTTTTCCTGAGAGGCAAGTCCAGATATTTCACTGGACAAGGATGGGCCTTTCCCGTGAGCAATGGGGGAAAATTCTCACTGACTGAAAAAGATGATCCTCAGGCCCAGAGACAGTTGGGGGCACTCCTGCTGGCCCCTTAGGTCCAGTTAGTCAGAAACTGAGGGCAGAGATGCTTGCGGAGTAGACCCTGACACCAGCTGAAACCTTTCCCCACCAGTCTCCCCACTTCCAGCTTTTTTGCTGAGAGTATCCACCCTACAGTCTCAATCTCAATGGAAGATGGTGCTGGGCTGACACAGCTGCTAGCCCTGGGGACACACAGGTGCAGGAGGAGGTTCAGCCAGAGGGAAGATGATGACGGGGAAGGAGGCAGCCCCAGCCATGGGAACGCGACAGTGTGGTCAGCAAGGGGAAAATCAAGCTCTTTTCTTCCATAAGCAAAGTCTTTTCTGCTTGATCTGCCCTGGCCTTTCTCTCTTTTCCACACAGCTTAACTGTAGGTCAGGTGCCTCATATTAATAAACACCAGGAATTAATAAACCCACAGGACCCTACGCAGCCTCAGAATCATCAGGGGGGATGGCTTTCCCCCTCTGTGCACAGACAAGGAGCCTGGAGTACAGAGAAGGCAGGAAACTTGCTCAAAAGTCAGCTAGCAAGTGGGGGTCATCAGACTGCTGGGCCCTCGGCCTGACTGTCCTGGACCTGACCGTCTCGAAGTCAGCAGGAGCTGACCTCCAGAGTTTGCCTCGGAGGTTTGCTCATTTACCTGCAAAAGCAAGAAGGCATGTTGAGATGACTCAATGATATTCTGAGAATTTGTTAAAGCAGGATAGATTCTTCGAGCTCTAGCTGTCTGTACCATTTTAAATCCCTCCTGCATGTTTGTGTTGCCTGTAGGCACTGTATTCTGCAGTTTGTTGAGACCGTCTTCTGTTTCTTTTCTAAAAAAAATAAGATAGGGGTATTGAGATAGGAATAAGGGTTGAGTGTGATTGACCAGCCCATCTGTGCTGGCACATTCTGCACTGTGCAGACCAACCTGGACTGGGGACCGCAGTCAGGAAGCCGAGCCAGAGCCTTTGACCTGCTGCCCAGAGTCTTTGACCCTCTCTGTTACTCATCACTATTTCATGTTCACAGACCCAAGGGGCATCACGAAGGGCCTGTCTGATCATCCACAGGCAGAGTGGGGAGCAGTTGTGACTGTGTTTATGTGAACCCGGAACTCATAATGGGACTGCCAGGAGTGTCAGCACCTATGTAGTGCTCCTTGAAAAGCATCTTTTTGTAACTTTTTTTGAAACTCCTGGCCCTTCCTTATTGGTCTATGTTTCCTTCCTCCCTTCCATCTCAAAGAAATGACTGTCCCTCTTGCAGGTCATTCACATTTATCTTTCCCTTTCCTCTCCCTGGCCACCGGCTTCTGGTTTACAGGCCCTCTTTGTCTTTTTTTTTTTTTTTAAGATTTACTTATTTTTAAACAAGAACCGGGGTACAGGCCAGATGTGCGGGAGGGTGAGAGGATTCACCAGACAGAGCGGGGAACAGAACAGGCAGACTGACTGAAATACACTGCTGAGGGGAGCAGCGGGCGAGACAGGAGAGGTCTGCTGTGCCATGTGGGATTCTTGCCCGCCGGCAGGGATCGAACCCACACTGCAGAGGCCGCGGACAGCTTCACAGTGTGGCGCTCAACCCCCTGCGCCACCAGGGAGGCCCCAGACCCTCTTTGTCTTTTAGGAGATTGCTGTTCCCTCTGCTCCTCACTCTTTTCCCACTCATTTTACCCACAATTATCTGTTTTCTTGGAGCACAGTTTGTATCATCTCACATCCCTACCCAAAAGTCATTTACAACTTCCTATTGCTCACAGCAATCCAGGCCCCTTGCCTGATTGTATGAGCCCTTTTGACCTTGACCCCAAGTTGTCTTATCCTAGTCTGATACTCTGTCCCTTCCATGAGTTAGCCCTATTCTCCCCCTACACAGATCACTCCACATGACAGCTCCTTGGTGGTCCTTGTTACCCTGTCTTTCCTCATTCTTAAAAGTCCTAGTTCAAATGTCTGTATCCCGTGGAAACCATCCTTGACTTTTTCTCTGGGAATCCTTGCTTTTTATTTATTTTTAAAAAAGATTTATTTATTTATGTATACAAGAACTGGGGTACAGGCCAGAGGTGTGGGGGTGAGAAGATTCACCAGAGACAGAGTGGGGAACAGAACAGGTGGATTGACTGAAATATACTGCTGAGGGGAGCAGCGGGCAAGGCAGGAGAGGTCTGCTGCGCCATGTGGGTAGCTCCCTGCCTGGGGATCAGACTTGTGCTTCAGTGGCTGTGGATAGCTTCATAGGTTGCGTCTTAATCTCTTGTGCCACCAGGGAGGCGCCCTGGCTTTTTCTTTAAAGTTGCCATGAGGGTCCTTTTCCGTTTTCTTTGGAACTATTGAAACAAGTGTTTTTTACTGTGTTACTGGTTAGCCCAGTTTCTCATCTATGACATCCCCAAGCCAGTCTGTGTTCCCTACACTGTGGCTTAACACCAAGGCTTGAAACAAACCAAGCTTCCACGACCTTTGGAGCCGATGGAACCAGAGTGAACTGCCTTTCTTTCCTGCTTCACAACTCTACCTGGGCTTCATGTTGCTGATCCAAGTGGCACCCATGCCCACTGAGTCTAAACAGACAAGCACTCTGCCTGGCAGAGCAAAACCCCCGCCACATGGAGAAGTCATGCTTTTTAAACATTTTGAGCATATCCTCTATGAAACCATATGTAAAATTCCAGTTCTTGCCCATACTTCCTGACCTGAAAATGAAAAGCAATAGGGTGTGTTCTTTGAGTTGGCAGAGTTTCTCTCTGAAACCATCCAATAATTTACCCCCACCCCACAAAGCTGCCGCACATGGCAGCAACCTCAATGGGTCTTCCTGATGGTGACATTCGTCAGTGTAATGAGAGGGATGGCACCAACGGGATTTGTGTGCTTGCAACTGAAAGATTCAAGAATGAGACCGTTTGGAGGCAAACATGGATAGTTGGTTGGACACACACTAGCTGCTAGATAAAACATGAAGTAGGATGCATTTCTGCAAAAACCGCCCACATTCCGTAACTCTGACTCTCCTGGTCCTTCATTTCTTTGGAGAATGACCTTTGCCAACTCTCTGCTTCTTTCTTACCACATAAGAGTGTGTGTGTGGATGAATGGTATGCTAAGGCCTTTGCCACCACTTCTGACATTAGAGCTCTTTGCTTGTGCTCTCTACAGCTCCCTTTAGGCTGCATGTAAAAGTGCCAACCCATGATGGGGCAAGGAAGGAGAGATGTGGATCATGATGCTAGGATTACTACTCATTGGACCTAAATCCTGTTCTACTCTCAAACCCATACTCTATCCATTGCACTTGGCAGTGACACTGCCTAGTGACAGGGTGACATTGCTATGTCAGATGATGCTGCAAAGCTCTGATAAGTCACCCATTGTCTTAGAAGCTCACATGTGAAACTGCATGACTACTTCTTTCCTAACTGGTGGTGGCACTTTTCACTTTCCTTCTATTACTCCTCTGTTTTTCCTCTGAGTACAATGGTTTTCCAAAGAATAATTGAAGGAGTAAGAATCTTCAATCACCCCACCTACCGTGAGAAAGCTTCAAGTGTGTGGTAATTTTGGAGGAAAGTCTTGATTCCAGAAACAGAAGTTGAGTGCCAAACAGTGTTTGATTTTAACTTTGTGTTCATGAATTTCCTTGATAATTGTTAAAATAAAATTACAAACAAATACTAGTGGCATGGTGGGATGTTAACAAAAAGGCAGATTTCAATACTCCAAGTCCTAGTTTCTGCACAGAAACATTCATCAAACAACCAGAGGCTAGAAAGGGAAGCAAAAATATACATGATGAAAGCCTAATCTGCAAAGGTAGGCAGAAATAGAAGGAAAAAATAAAGCTGTAATGTAAATATATCACATTTAGGAAATAATAAGTTGTCAGTAGCAAGTTCTCACATATCAATAAGAACCCCGAATTTAAATATGTTGAATTCATCAATCAAAATAGCAGTATGATTAGGTGGACAGATAAGACCCAGTTATGTCTTTATTGCCTACAGATATACATTTCACTTTAAATACAAACAGAGATTTAATGTGAAGGGATGAAAGAAGATATTTCATGCAAGGGGATATTTTATGCAAGTCATAATAGACAAGGTAGATGTTAAGTCACAAATGTTCCCAGAAGTCAAAGTCATTACATAGTGATTATGAGGTCAACACATACCAAAGATACAAACTTAAATGTATGTGCCCTCAACACCTGCACACATAAATATAACAGTTCTGAAGGGAGAAAAAAAATTACGTATTTGTAGATAACTTCAACACCTGATTTTTCAACAGTGGATACGTCATCCACAGAACCTCTGGGCTACTGTCTTCAACTCTGGGACCCGCAGACTTCCCAAGAGATGGCACATACCTTCCCTACTTTTCCCCCAGGCCTGTCTGAAGATGGCACAGTGCAGTGAAAGGGCTTTGGAAAGAGTTAGGTGCTTCAATAAGGTCACCAATGTCCTGCCACGGCTGCTGCTGAAGAGGTGAAGTTCATTCTCAGCCCAACATTGCAGCTGGAAACGACTAAAGCCATGTCTCCAAGCCGATGCCCTGTACCCCCTTTGTGTCTTCAAGGTCACAAAGGCTTCAATAGAGCCCAGCTTTATCGGGGCCACACCCAGAGATCACAGTGTTCAGAAAATACATAGATTATCAAAGAAAGTAGCCAAAACACTTAGACAGCAAAGCAAAGGACTTTCTCAGCAGTGACACTATGAGAAGGCCCAGAAACAACTCAGCAGTCTTTCTGGAGTCCAGTAAAAATGGAGTCATTTGGGTGAGAAACAAAACAAAGCATAAAGTGATAACCAAAAGCCCAGGACGTGATTAACAACTGCTGAGAAAGGAGCTCCCAGTAATCACCTGCCCTCCCGCGGCTATCGGGCCTGCAGGTCACAGATGTAGGCCAGCTGACAGGAGCCCTTTTTTCTTTCCCAAATGAAAAGCCCCGTGGAAGGAAGGCTGGGCCGTCCTTCTGCCTAGGAGCAAGGAGGTCACAGAGGTCTGTTCTTGCGTCTGAACAGGACTAGCCTCACAGCCTCACTCTTTCCTCACAGAAGCTAGTTTCCTTTGGCCAAGCCCTGCCTCTATTGTCCCCTGGGATAACGGAACCCCCAAGTGTCTGCCAGGGTAGGAGGCTCACTCACATTTCCAAGATCAAGTAGAGGTCAAGATTGCTCTGATAGGATTTCTTGTCATTTGCCCGCCTCTTCCTGGACCCTGTTTCCTGGCTGTGGCCATGGCGGATGCTCTTGCCATCCAGGTTGGTGTTGCTGTGGCTGTCTCTCCTGGCCTGACTCAGGTGAAGGGGGTCTAACAAGGTCGGGACTGTGTACTGGTTTGCCCCCCTGTTGGCAGCAGAGGGGGCAGCAACGGCAGGAGGAGGAGAGCTGGCCCAGGCAGCCTGCCACAGCTGCTTCACATTTTCTTGGCAGCCCCTGAGGCTGTAAGGCACACTAACCTCTTAAGTCACTTAAAGAGTGACTGGGGCCTTACTGTTTTAAGCAATGTAGAAGGCCCCCCACCCCTTTAATCAAGTCCTTCCTTTAATCAAGTCACACTGAGCCTCCACCTAGCACCTGCTCTGGGGGCAAAGTAGGACTGATTCTGGGTGGAGGCCTCATTGCCTACCAGGGTGTCTCCCTGACCCATAGAGACATAATGCCCTGTCCTGTGATGGACAGGGAGGTTGGCATGGTGACCCTGTGACCTATAGCTCTGCTCACTGTCTTGCCTACTGACATTCCCAGGTGGGAGTCACAGGGATCCCTGAACAGGCTGTGAGAGGAACCTCCATTTGTCCCTTATCCTGAGCCCTCACTGTTGGCCATTAAAATCCTCCAGGAAGCTGAGCTTTGTAAACTGCCAGAGCAGCTGTGTGGCTTAGCCAAGGACATCACTGTGGGTGAGGGGGTCAAGGCTGGGAGACCAGAGTGCTGTAATGGCCATTTGAGTGAACACTGAAGTTTTCTAGAGATGGAAGGATCTAGAAGGCAAAGAAAGTGGTGCAATTTTGTTTTTGAAGGAGGGATTCCACTTATCCACTGATGTGAATCAATACCCCAAACTTACTAAGTCAGAAAAGAACTGCTTTATCATGCTCATAGTTTCCATGGTCCAGAAATTCAGAGAGAACTGTACTGTCTCCTTTGCTCCATGGAAATCATTGGAATCCCCTGAACTTTTAATTTTAGAAGCAGCACACCATCTCTGTCTCCCCAAACCTTTGTTATATTTGATTACAGTTGTATGGATATTTGGATCCGTTGGAGGGATGTGAATCTGCAATCCAGAACCCCCTTCAGTGAACAAGGCGGTGTCTCCTGTAATTAGGTTTTCAGTGCCTTTCATGAAATTTCCCTAAGAGACCTTGACCTCTTTTGTCAAGTGCCTTTTTTCAGTGCCTTATCATTTTGCTGCCATTGTTAATGATGTTTAAAAAATAAGGTTTTAAACAGTTTATTGATAGCACAAAGTATTTATTTATTTATTAAGATTTATTTATTCATGCATACAAGAACCGGGGTACAGGCCAGATGCACGGGAGGGTGAGAGGATTCACCAGAGACAGAGTGGGGAGCAGAACAGGCAGATCTACTGAAATACACTGTGGAGGGAGCAGCGGGCGAGACAGGAGAGATCTGCCACGCCATGTGGGAGTCTCACTGGCTGACTGGGATTGAACCTGTGCTGCAGATGCTGCGGACAGCTTCACAGTGCGGTGCTCAACCAACTGCGCCACCAGGGGATGCCCAAGAAAGTATTTATTTTTATGTACTCAACCAATTTGCTAAAATCTCTTGGTCTTGGTCTGAAACATTTTCTGTAAAATTGTTGGGATTTTTATGAAAAAATATAAAACCCAAACTGCTGGCTCATTCTCTTGTGAAATGACACTATATCTGTGGTGGTGGTAGTCTTGATTTGAAAGAACACTTCTAACATATAACCTTAAGAATGATGTTTATTGAAGGCTTTTGGTAGCTGTCCTTTATTGGGTTAGACAATTTCCCTGCTGTTGTTGTTTTCTACAACTCATGAATGATTGTTTAATATTATCTAAATTTGTTTCTGCATATTTTGTGAGGTACACATATATTCACTCAAATTAATGTGGTCAATTGCATCAAATCAAGTAAAACCATTTTTATGTTTTTATAAATAGACCCAAGTTGGCCTGATAATTTTTTTTTAAAAATGGCTGTATTAATCACTATTAGTTTAGATTTTTTTTGAAACTATAATATGTAACGAACATATAAAGGCTTACAAATAATGTAAATACATAGACCAAAATTAAAACTAAACAATATTAAGGTGCCAGCGAGCACCATGTGTGAAAGTGGCTGCGTCGACATCCTGAGTGTTAAAGACTGATAAAGCAGATGGTGCCCAAATCCGAGCCTGATAAGGATGTATAAAAGGAGCGGATTTCTGAAGCAAGCTCAGAGCAGTTCCAAGAGACTAGCTTGAGCAAAGGACTTGCCAGAGGCGACTCTTCCAGAGTCTAGCTTGCTGCTCCCTTTGGACTCCAGACTGCACTTCAGCTTGAACTTCCTCTCGCTCCCTGGTTAGGCATACTGCAAACCAGCTTGACATCCTGCTTGACCATCCAGACCCCTGGCCCTCGAGCCTAGAGACTTCTGTGGCCGGAAGACTTCCACTTTGGTGGAAGGTCCCACTAAGACATGTCGCGTTTATTGTCTTCAGTCAGAGGTACTTTGGGAACCTTGGGTTGGCTTGCCTATTTGAGCTTGAGTGTTTGTGTGACAACTATAATAATAAAATTCTCTCTGAGAGCCAACCTCCAACTAAAGCCTAATATTCACACTCTTGAGACTCTACCACATGATCCAGCAAATCACCCTTAGGTATCCAAATTAAGAATGCAAAATCTCTAACTTGAAGAGATACCTGCTGTCCCATAGTCACTACAGCACTATCTAAAATAGCCAAGCCAGGTAAGCAACCTCAGTGCCTGGGGCAGATGAGTGGATTAGAAAGTTGTGATGCACACACACACCACGCACACCCCACAATGGACTACTTGTCTTTAGGGAAAAAATGAACTCTTTCCATTTGTGGTAACATATACTGAACTAGAGGGGGTTATGCTGAGCACAGTAAGTCAGAAGGAAAGTGACAAATACTGGATGATTGTTCTCGTATGTGAACTATTAAGAAACTAAACAAAGCAACAGACCAAAGTAAAGCAAAATAAACACAAGAACCAGACTGTAGAATTGAGGCTACTGTAAGGGGTGGGTGAGCACTGGGAAGCAGAGGCGGGAGGTGGACAGAATGGACTAGGGTGGGACTGTGGGTGCTTTGGTGGTGGGTGTGGTGTGATCACACAGATCTGAAGAGGTTGAGCCTATACTCCTAATCATATACAGCATGGTAAACCAATGTCAACCAATAAAGAAAAAAAAGTAAAAGAAAAATTTGATAACATGAAAATGAAGATTCTATAATTGTGTGTTTCTTCTTCCTCAACACTTAGGCCCTCTCCATCCCTGTCTTAAAAGTCCCCTCTGGGCTGGGTGTATCTGACCAGCATAGACCCTAGCAGTTCCTGGGGTGGACATTTCCTTTAAGCTCCTCACCCTGGGCCCTTGTCATCCCTACTCTGAGGGTCATGAGGACAAGGCAGTGGCTCCTGCCCTCACTCTGCTTCCCTGTCTTTCAGGTGGGCAACATAAGACACCTATTCTGCCAGACTTTTGGAGTTCCACAGGAATTAGGCTGGTTTCCTACTATGGTAACTTCCCTCGTTTCCCCACTGACTTGCTGGTGTTTCTTGATATTTTATTCCAAATGAACTATATGTTCAGGATTTGCTTCTGAGAACACCTTGACAAAAACACAAGCTTAGAGAGCTAAAGTACCAGGTCAAGATCATAGCTGGGACTCAGACTCAAGTCCATTGACCTTGTACTCCTTGGAGGTAATTGTTTTCTTCTGCAAGAAATAAAACATTATCTTTTTTCACTGCCAGCATCATTATAGATATCACATCTGAAAACACATGTAGGTGTAATTGCTTTCATGTAATTTACATATAATTTGAATGTGTGGTTCTTCTACAAAGCAATTGAGGGTAGATGACTCTGTTGTCAGATGGTGGTTATTTGCATCCTGCTCTGTACCTGACAAGCTCTTTCATTTTGAACAAGCTATTTGGTTTTTATATATCTCCACTTTTCCTCATGTGTAGAATAAAAATTAATGCTATGGCACCTCACAGAGTTAACAGGAGGATTTAATGAAGTGTTTACTATGTCTTCTGTGTGCCTGCCCTGCTATGCTCTTTAACATAATGCTTGGGACAGCTTAAATTCTCAATAACTGTCACTACTCCTAATCCTATATATGGGGAAACTGAGATTCAAAGAAATCAAGCCATTCAAATTAGAGGGTAAATAGTAGAACAGTTCATGAGATACTTTCTCTCAAAAAGAATATAGTAAGATATAATTTAACTGAAGAACGTTACTTTTCTAGAAAAAGTTTCAAGAATACAGTATTTGCACTGTGAAAATATCTTTTATATCTGTTAACTAAAATAATGGCAATTCTTATTAAATGAACAAAATGCTTCATCCTGTTTGTCTGTAACCCACATTGAGACTGCAAAGTGAGCCTCAGTTTTCTGGTTTACAGATGGTGTGACCGGCAGCTCTTAAGCGATGTGGCAAGCTTACATGGATTGAGAATGTCAAAGGTGGGATTTGAACCCAGGCCTGACTGCTCTCCCCACTTTATCTTGTTGTTTTCTTCCTGCCACTCTGGAAAAAAGGGGTCTTTCCTGAGGCTTTATTTAGATTTTCATGACAGGAGTTAGGGTTTGTTGAGAAATTATTTAACCTCAGTTTTATTGGTTTGTTGCCAATAAAAAAAATATATATGAAGTGTGTGTATGTGTGTGTGTGTGTATATATAAAATTCTTTTTGGTTGCAGATTTAAATGAATTTAAGCAGTCTAAAATTTGTTATAGGGAAGCAATGATAGTGTAATATTTAAAGACTTTGGAAAACCCTGGTTATAGACATTACATAGTTCAAATGTAGATAATTATAAACATTATAATTATAATTATAAACATGGGGCCAGTAAAATCAAAGCAAACTATCAATGAAATAAAAATACTGATTAGTTGTTTAATATGAAGATATAACTAAAACAGTGGAATTATGTTTAGGTGAGATGGGAGTGTTTTGTATATTCAATCAGCAAATATTCATTCTCTGTGTTAGGTTCTGGGACTTGGTGGTTAACAGGAGAGGGGAGGTGCAGTCTACGCCTATTCAGATCTTAGTTTTCTTTTCTTTTTTTAAAAAGATTTATTTATTTATACAAGAACTGGGGTACAGGCCAGATGTGCGGGAGGGTGAGAGGAGACACAGCGGAGAACAGAACACCAGAGACAGAGTGGGGAACAGAACAGGCAGACTGCTGAAATACATTGCCGAGGGGAGCAGTGGGGAGACAGGAGAGGTCTGCTGCGCCATGTGGGTTTCTCCCTGGTCGGCTGGTATCGAACCCACGCTGCAGAGGCTGTGGACAGCTTCACAGTGTGGTGTTCAACTGCCTGCGCCACCAGGGAGGCCCCTGATCTTAGTTTTCAGAGAGGAAGACAAGCAGCTGGAAAAAGTATTACTGGCAACAGAGCATTGAGTGCTCTGGGAATAGATGGGAGGCCATTGTAACCAGGAGAATAGGGCTCAAACGTGTATAGGAATTATCCAGTGAGAAGGAATGACTGATGAGGTCAGTAGGGAAAAAAAAAAATAACATGACATATTAAGGATCCTAAAGAGGTTCAGTTTGGCTACAGTCAAGAGTGAGGGTGAGCTTTGGTATGGAGGATGGGAGAATGGCAAGATATCTGGTAATTTTAAGGCATTTATATCCCTCACATTATTTTTGTGGTTTAACTTAATTTTATTCTTAATAATTACTTTTTTAATTATTTATATCTTTGTTCATTTTTAAACAATATTTTCTTCCTCCCACCCCTCAGGTGCAGTCCCCATAGAATTTCCTTCCCCAATGCACCCGTGCACCATCACCTCAGTCCCCTGTGCTTCTCCCCCTCCCTCTGATCCCTCTCCCGCCTCCTCCCCTGCAGGATGTCTCTGGTTTATAATTGTCTGTTTTTGCTTTGTTGTGTTTTGTACTGTTATTATTTTTTCACACTGTATATCCCTGGCATTTTTACTTTGAAGGTCTCATTTCATATTATATCCTTTTTGTTCTTCCATTTCCTACTGTAAAACCTAACATAATAGTGAGGATCTAGTTTTCTTATTTTAGCGATGTAACATCACTTATAAGACCAAATCCTAATCAGCGTGACTGCAGCGCATGAAACCCTCTCACCTGTGTTAGTGATTCCAGCTCTTTACGAGACCAAAAAGGTCTATCGATCTTTGTGGCAGGCCAAGACGAGCTACTATTTTTACCAATTTTTTTTTGAATTTTGGAGTACAGTGAGAGTGTCTTACTTTTTACTGTGTGTAAATGGATGTTATATGACGGGTAGCAGAATGTTAACCCAAATATGTCAGTTTGGCATAGAATTTTTTAGCTAAAAAGTCACTTAAAAAACAGCAGATGCAAGAAGGGTATTCTAATATCTCCTTTCAGACCTCAAAACAGAATATAAAAATCCCCATGTGAAAGATGCCATTTCTGAGCAAAAGCAGAAAACACACTTCTACATAGTCAAAGATGAGAGAATTCTGAACAAACAGAACTTGTTAAAATAATTCTTATCTTCCTTTAGCTTCCCCACATATTTTGGTTACTTTTCCACAGTTACCTCTTTTTGTTCAATCTAAAATAAAAGTATGTAGACTTGACCATATCTTTGGGTGTTTCTTTCATTAATTCAGGCTCCTGTATCACTTGAGATTTATATAAATTGATGGACTTTTCCCCTGATAATCTGTCTTGTGTTAGTTTAATTCTCAAACCCTGCCAAAAACCCTTAAGAATGTGGAGGTAAACTTCTTCTGCTATGGTTATTTATCATGTTTGCATTTTTTATTTCTAAGTTCTCAAAGAATGACATCTTCTAGTATGTGAATAATTATATAACTTCTTGAGACTCTAAGGAAATTGTAAGCAAAAGTCACTTTCAGATGTCGTTATTGCATGAATAGCCCCATGCTGGAAAGTTATAATGGCTAAAAAATAATCTCACTGCTTGTTCCCTCTTCCATCAGTGATTATAATTTTGGGGAAAATTTAAGAAAGAGTTGGGCACCAAATGGAGAAAAATTAACAAATATTTTAACAACCCTAACACTAAAAAATTTTTGAAAACAAGTTTCTTTAATGGAAATGCAGGTCTATTTGTTAGCATTATTTATTATAATAATACTTTGTATGTGATGAACTGAAAAGGTAAATTTTAAATTAACCTTTACTCAATTGTATTTGATATTTAAAAGCCATAGGAAAATGGAAATGACACACATACAATTGAAGTATTTCCAAGCAAGTATATAAACCATTTACAGCAAACAAAAATAAGGAAAAAATATTATACAGCTTTTTATATATCTCAATATCCTGTATGTCCTTACATGGGAAGGAAACTCAGACTGATTCAAATGGTATCTCTGTGGGCTTTAGCTTTGTTATTTGTAAAATAGCAGCTTCTTTTACCTCTGTGATTCAAAATAGAATCATTGTGACCCTGTTAGAAACCAGATGAACAAAAAAGGAGATACTCTTACCTATTACTTAATAAGGCAGGAAAAAATCCTCAACATTTAAGAGAAAATTAAAGTAATCTGGATTAAAATAGCCCAGGTCCCCACTAACAAATTTAGTACTTAGTAACTGGGAAATTCATCTAAGCAATTTCATTCATTGATATTTTTATTGAATTTATGTATCATGTAATCAATTCCTCCTGAACTTTCTTTTTATCTTAATGCTTGTAAGTTAGAAAATGAAAAAGAGTTAACCAGCATTTCCTAAAGTTGCTTTTTACCCACTTGCCTAGAAGCTATACTAGGAAACTGTGGGAAATTAAATTGGAAAAAAGTTCAAGCCATTTCATGAAGGGTAAGAAAGTGAGGGTAAGAATTTTATTCTGTAGGTAATGGGAAGGCTTTGAAGCTTTCTTAGCAGGAGAGTAACTTTTTCTGAACTATAGAAGATTAATTTGACATTGGTGTCTAGAATTTATTAGATGGGAAAGAAATAAGAGTTGGACATTTATTCCAATAATCTAGATGAGGCGGTGAGGATCTAAGCAAGGATGGTGGCAGTGTGAAAGAAGAGGCAGCAAAGTGGCAAGAAAAATCAGTTGGGCTGAATGGCTAATTAGATATGGAGAAATATGAGAGGAGTAGGTAGGTGTCAGATACTTGGTGAAAGGAATAAAATTGATGTTTAACTGTAGAGGAAAAGAGAAGTTAGGAGACATTGAATGCACTGTAAAACTAAAATCATTAAGAAAAAGTATATTGTTAATTTAAAGAAGTTTGTATTAACAGATTCAGAAAAGTCATATCCTGGGATAATAATATTAATAATCACAAAACACCTATGAGTGCTCAGGGAAATACTATGTAAATATAGTGGTATTTTGTGTATCATGTGTAATTCTCATGATATCCCTTCAAGGTAGATATGATTGTTTTAATTTTGCAAATTAAAAAACAAAGCTTCTAGAAGTGAAGATACTTACCCAAGCATTAGCCAGCTAATTATGATGATTGAGCCATGGTACAGATCTGTATGAATTAAAGTTCTGTTTTCTTTATGTATGCCATGCGACCTCTCTTATGCTTGAGAAAACTTACAGATTTTGTTACCTGTGAGTTAAAAAAATACATAATGATTAACTATGCAAATTACGTTATATTATTAGCAAATTGCTAATATTGCAAACTATACTAAATTACTCACATATTAAAAATCATGAATTTTAAACACTTAGAACAGCACAGAAAATAATATACCATTAGTCCACATAGACTTATTGAAATGTTTTGCTCATTTGTTTCAGGTTTGCATGTTTTTAAGAATTACGTACATCTAAAGTCTCACAACTCACAGCTTTAAAGTTTTACTTATTTTTGCACACGCTCAGCAAATATTTTCTTACTGATGAAGAAATTGAAGTCTTAACCATGAAGAACTTTGCTAAAAGGTCTATAGTGTCAAAGCTAGAGCTGGCTTGTTTTTAAGTTTATCCTTTCTACTATATCAGACTGTTCTAGAAACCAATCAGAAGCCTAGAGCTGGGAAAAACATTTCAAATGTCCACAAAAAGAGGAAAATTGGGATCTTGGAAACTAAACCTCATAAGCTTGATGTTGATCCAGATGTTAACTTGATTATTAGATTGTTTGTGAACACTTATAAAAGCGAACCATTAAAAGTCATCGTTTTGGTAAAAAAATAGGTAATGCCAAACCTGATTTCATAAAGATGGTGTTGTAGACTAGTCAAGGAGATGGATAGCTTAGACATATTTCAATTATAGATGAGACAATTATGGGTAAGAAAATGACATATATACTTACTTATAATAGAACTTGTGGTTTCTACCTAGACCATGTACAATGACAACGTGGAAAAAATTCTCTCGTGCTATGTCCCATTGGCTCTGGTCAGCTCCTCTTTTATAAAATTTTAACCTATAGCAACAACTGTCAACATGTTAATATTTGGGGGCACATTTTCAAATCTAGAATTTTTGATAGAATGTTGAAATAATTACATAGCAGCCATAGTTTTTGGAGTTTTTACTCGATCACTTCTTCCCCCCAGTTTCTAGTTAGAGGGAACTTATTAGAGCAGCACTGTAGAATGACCTTCTGCTTTTCCACTTTTA